CATGAGGCAGGGCATCTTTGCAAACTTTTATTTTGAGTTGCTGGCCTTATTGATTCATAGGACATTTTCATATCTCAGAAAATAGCCTTCTGTTTGATCTCAGCTGTAAATTTTTTCAAGTTTATCATTAATTTTATGACTATGCTCATGGTGATTTTTGTGAAGTTGAAATATTTTTCTGCATTAAAATTTGTATTTCTTTTGGGCTTCTGATTTATCTTTAACAAGGACTGCCACAGTCCAAGATTAGAAAGAAATTTTCCCATAATTTGTTTTAATCTTTTTATGGTTTCATTTTATATTTAAATCTTTGACACATTAGAATTTATCCTGCTGTAAGGTATGATGTATGACTCCAACTTTTTTTTCCTAAATGGCTAGTTATCTCAGCAACTTATGTTAAATAAAACATTTTTCTGCCCCTAATTTGAAATGCAGCTGTTTAACACAACACTGTTTACAATAGCCAAAATATGGAAGCAACCATAGCATCCATCACCAGATGAATGGATAAAGATGTGGTATATATCCTGTGGGTCAAATTGTAGTATTTCCAGAATATCTCGCCTGGTTTTAATATGTCTGCATATCAGTAGGCGTTCAGAGGTGGAAAGAAGTATGACTTCAGTGCGTTTGCATCATTCCTCAGGGGTGGAAAGAAGTTCACCTCCGTATCAATGGGTAATTACCTGGGCAAGGAGGGCTTACCTATACCCGAGAGGTGAGGGGAGGGCCGGTTTTGCTTCTGCTGGAGCAGGAAAGAGAGAAACGGCCCCAGACTGCATTTTTAAGCAATAAATGGATTTTAAACCTTATTTCTCCCTTTGACTGATTTCAGTTTTTAGAGGTATTTTGCTCTGGGATCTCCTCTCCCTGAACTTACAATACAATGGACTATTAGCCACAAAACAGAATAAAATCTTGCCATTTGTAACAACATGGATGGATCTAGAGGGTATACATGGAGTAAAGTCAGAGAAAGAAAGACAGACACCATGTGATCTCACTTGTATGGAAAACCAAAGCAATAAAACAAACAAAACAAGTAACAGACTGGAGGTTGCCATGGGGAGGGGGGACAGGAAGGGTAAAATAGGTAAATGAGAAAAAAGTGAGCATGTTTCATATCTTTATCCAGGTGATGGTTACGTGAGTGTATACGTGTCAAAATTCATTAAACTGTATACTAGGATTTGCATATTTTATTGTATGTACCTCAATGTTTAAAAATGCGACTGTTATCAGAGACAAGAGCTAGTAGGTTTTAAGCAGGAGAATATGTAATCATATTTACTTTAATTTATTTATGTCTTAGATAGAGCATTCTATATTATCACTCCAGCTATACAGAATTGTTTTATTCTTAGATAATTCCTGAAAAAATAGATCTTCTTTCCTATGTTTGTTGAAAAACTCCAGATTCACTCTTGCCCTAAAAAATCTTATGTGGCAACCCTATGATAGATGTAATCAATTTATAGACTAGGAAACTGAACCAGAGAGAAATTAAGAAACTTGCTCAAAATGACACAACTAGTGAGTAAAGGCCAAGGAATTACCCACTATGGTATAGGCCTACTTAGTTTAAAGAGACATTAAATTATGTCGGGTCCACTGCAGTTCTTTCTGGGCTCTGTAAAGTGAGGTAACAAAGTTACCTCTATAGGGAGGTTGCTCTGAAGATTAATAATTCAGTCCATGCGCATACCACTCCTTAACTGTTTGTATTCATTTAATGATTTAGGGGCTCTTTCACTCAGAGCCATATATTTATTTCTACGCCACTAAACACTGAGATCTAGATCTGGGCTTGAATCTCAAACTAACAGCTGTCTTCTCTAAGCCTCCTTTTCATCTTTAAAATGGCTCAGCAACAATACCTACTAACAAACATTGTTTTACAGATTAAATGAGATGCGAAGAGCGTAGCTCAACGCTCTTCTGCAGGCTCTGCCTTCCAATACTATGGACTTCAGTGTGTTGCTGGGCTGGTCATAGGAGTGCTCTTCCAATTTCAGAGCTGCTCTTCATTCTGTCCTGGATGGGCAGCTAGGAATTACAAACAGCTCAACTTCAAATATAATTTCCAAAAAAATCTTACCTGAATCTGTCTACTGTAGCCCCATAGTCATAGTTTCTGGTAGGAGACTGGGCTGAGTGGGTGCCAGCCTCAGACAGATCTCAGGAGACCGATGCTCTCACTGGCACTGGTTTCCCTTCCCTCAGGAGGGAAATATGCCTCTTTCTCCTTCCATAGGCCCCCTCTCCTCCGAGATACTACTGCTCTTCCCCTTTTGGTCTCCAGAGCCAAACAAATCTATTTCTGGCTTTAAGGTTGATCTACACTCTAAATGACACTTTGCCTCTTGTCTGGTACCAGCAGCCCTGCGGATTCCTTCTTGCCTCTCTCCATCAAGGTCAGCTACAACTTTTGCCTGAATTTGGACTCCAGGTGATTCTGGCTTCCTGTTCCCCCTTAAGCCAGGGAATTCCTAGGTTTCCCAGTAATTCCTGGTTTCTTCTGGCTGAGCTTCTTGTGCAGCACTTGACAAATTAAGTCACTGCCGGCGAGCATTGATGTGCTCAAGGAAGGCAAGTTTCATCCTCTTTTTACCAATACTCAAGGGCAAATGACTTGTCTCAGGACCTACATGGAATGCAGGGGCCTAGCGCTGATAAGGATAAGTCTTAACACTTATCCAGCGCAGGAGACACTCCTGATCTAAGACTTCATATCTTCTCTTTCACTGAACTCTCAAACAGTAACTGTATAAGGAGTGTGGTCCTGCCTTGGCAGGTGGCAGACGTCCTGCCTTGGTGCTCCGTCCTCATCAGACAGGACAGCTTTCTAATAGCATGGTGGGGGCACTGCACTGAGGGGAATGGCTGCAAGCTAGCCTAGATGAACCTGGCACCGCCAGATAAACATTGTCAAGAAGATGGTATTGGGAGGAAAGCTTACAGAACAGGACCAGGGTTTTGAGGCAAGTGTAAATTTACTCTGGTCTTTCTGTCCATCTGCGGTTGTGTAGTTTGAAGATCTATCTGGATGGGGGATTGTTTGTTCTCTGGCTGGGTGGCCCACCTGTCTGTTCAGCTGGAGATCTCTCTTGCTGCTTGCTGCTGTTTTTCTGACTTGGGATCTGCATGTCTGTCCAGAGTCTTATCAAGCTGGGAGTCAGTCTGTCTGCAGTTCACTTTTCAACCTGAGTCTCTCTACTTGGGGGTTCACCAGTCTGGGTAGGAGTCTGTCAGTCTGGGGTCAATCCATCTCCCTGTGAGGCTAGAGGTCTCACTAGCTGCAGATTTAACTGCCAAGCTGCCAGTCTGGGTGCATCTGCTGTCCAGCTCAAGGGTTAGGGGGCCTGTGTAGCCAGGCCTGCGTCTGACCTGTTGGGGGATAATCTGTCCAAATGGGGGTCCACCTTTTCATTTGCGTTGGGGTCCAGCCAGCCAGCTTGGGATCTAGCTGGCCAGTTGGCCTGGAGTCTATCTATTTCTCTGGCTGCAGATAGTGTCTCACTGTCTGGCTGGGATAATCTAAGGGTCCATCCATCCTAACTATCTACAGAGTTGGGGGTCCATCTGGCAGGCAGAGATCTAGCCTGTTTGAAGAGATCTGCAATGTACGGGCCACTGGGAGATGGTCTGGAAAGTGGGGGAATGCCTGGCTCACAATGCTGATCTGAGGGTCCATCTGTCCATCTGGCCTGTTGACTGCCTGGGGGCCCACCTGGCTGTCTTACCAGCAGGAGGTGTATCAACTTGTTAAAATGTGGGTTCTGTGCACCTGGTGAGTGGGTGGGTTCAATCTACCTGTCTGCCACTTGGGAGGATGGCTAGCCGGTTAGGGTTATCTGTGCAATCAAGTTGTTCTGACTAGTGGAGAGTCTGTCAGTATGTCCAGCCACCTAGCTTGGGGTCTGTCTGTTCAGCTGGGAATCTGTTTATGTGTTTAGGAGTCTGTCCACCTAACAATACATCTGGATGGTGTTTGGCTGGCTGCCTAGCTGGGAAGAAGATGTCTTTTTGACAGTCCCTTTGGCTGGGGGCAGTCTATCAGGCTGTTGGTTGGTCTCTCTCTCTGGCTGGGGGTCCATCCATCCAGCCCTGGGCTTCCCTCTGAAGGTCTGCTTGTCTAGGGGTATGGCTATTTGCCTGTCCAGGTTGGGCATCCATCTGTCTGTGCACCTGGAGATCTTTTTACCTGTCTGAAATCAATCAACTTGCCTGCTGTTATGCCTAGTGTGGAGCTGTCTGAATGGAGAATGGGGGTTCCATCATTCCTTCTCAGGATCCATCTCTCTGTGCCTAGCTGAGTGTCTTGAGTGAGGGAGGCTCAAACACTGAAATGGGCTAGTCCACTATGTGGTGATGGGGACAGTCTTCAGAAACCCATCTGCCCATCTTCCCCATCACAACTGGGAGCTGAGTTTAGTCCCTTGGGGTTGGGCCCATTCCAGATGCTCATTCTTGAATCTGTTCATCATAGCCTTACCAGCCATTATCTCCCAACTATCTTCCCCAACCTCAAGCCTTAAACGTTATAATTTATAATCACTGGGGCAAAGCCCCCACATTTCCAACCCTGAGAAACTTTTATTTTAATCCAGGACCCACATTCCCCTTCCCAGCACTTCACACAGCAGAGAATGGCTGTCAGCTGTCCAGAAGCCCCTGTGGGGCAATAGGCAGGTGGGGTGCAACACTCACACCCGGGTCCACTCGGCAGGAGGGTCCCGGGGCCCTTTAGGCCTTCCAATGCGCAGGTTGAAGCCTGGAAGAGGAAGGGCACCATGGGTCTCGCGGAGTGGCTGAGGTGTGGAGAGGTAGGTAACTTCTGGAAGGCCATTCCAAGCCTTTGTGCCCTCCTGGTTTACTGCAGCCACATCCACGGGACTCCACGAGTGTGAGCCCCATGTCACCATCCCTACACCTCAAACTCCTGGGGTTCAGTCAAAGCTACAGAGTCCCAGCGAGCCGGGCTTTGACTGACTTACCTAGCCCACTGCTCTGAGCTCCGTCCACCACATCCTCATAGGCGCCGGGCCCGGCTGGCCTCTGGTCAACCGGAACTGCAAACAGGAAACCAGACCCAAGATTAACCAACCCACCAAGCTCTAAGGACCCATCCAGGAACCGAGACGCCTCCTTCGGCCCGACGAGGCAGGATGGGAGCGGAAGGGGCGGGGCCGAGACACCGGATGGCCTGGAGGCTACGGTGCGCCCGGGGCACTTCCGGGCGTGGCCAGGTGAGGCCCGCAGTCCCGGAGGCGTGGGCGCGCGGACCTGCGAGTGCGGGTGCTCGCGGCCGCCGCAGGGCGGAGTACCACGGGCACCTCGGCCTCCACTCACCAAAGCCGGGAGGTGTCCGCCGCGCGTCGTCCGCGGGAGCCTGGGACCGGCGCGCGTCGTCCGCGGGAGCCTGGGGTCGGCGCCCGCGCGGGGTCACCTGGCTGTAGAGCGGCGCTCCGTCCGCGCCCGCGCTGGGGACCCCGCGCTTCTGCACGGCCGCGTACGTGTCGGCCATGGCGCGGGCCGGGGGCGCGGGCACAGAGATGCTCCTGCGGGTGCGGAGGGCGGGGAGGAAGTGAAGCGGCGGCCGGGGGGCGGGGGGAGAGCGCAAACCGCAGGCTTCCTCTCCGCCCCGGCGGCGCGCCGCTCTGGAGGGGCGGCAGGCGGCTGGGGGTGAGGGGCTCTCGTTTCTGTGTCCCCAGCGGCCGCAAGTCCGGTAGATGAAGGAGGGGAGGGGTCGACTTGGCAGGTGAATGGGCAGGGCATCGGTATTGAGGGGTGGTCGTTTCTGTAAATGTTTAGTGAATAGAAGAATGAGGAAGTGGCGTCCGCCCTCAACGGGAGGAAGGGGATGGCCTGAGATTAGAGAGCTGGTCTCAAGGAGGAAGGTTTAACTTGTCTGCTGCAAAGGAGGGTCACTGTCCGTGGAGCACCTGGCATGACACCTGACAAAGGGGCAGCATCTAGAAATGTTTGCTGAATTAACTGTTGGGAGATGGAGGGCGGAAGGGGCAAGGAAAGGGCCGACATGGGAGCACAGGGCCAGCCACGGAGGCAGGGAGTAGAGTCATCTTGGGCAGGGTCAGCAGAGCTCTCTTCAAAGGGCCAGTGGCTATTTGGTAAACTTAACAGTGAAGACAGGGAGCATGAAAGCATGAGAAATTGGAAAGGGAAGAATGAGGGGTGGAGCTAGGTACCTGAGGACGCTGCCTGGTGCTCGAAGTATGACAGGAAGGGCCTGAGAAATCCCGAGGGACAAGGCATCATCGTAGAGTGGGGCACAATTCTGGGGAAGGACAGGATGGTAAGAGCGTGAGGCTTCCAAGGAAACCATCCAAGCCCTGACATGAAGGTGACCGTGGACGTCACTGTGGGGTCAGCTTAAGAGGGGATGGTCTGCTAAGGGAGCAAGGAAGAAGACAAAGGTGGATATCAGAGTGAGTCAGCCCCTGCTCTCAGAAGCAGTCCATGGGTGCCATGGTGGACAGAAGGAGAGTAGCTAGGGGGTTTGGGTACCTCTTTGAGGTTCTGGTACTGGGGACCTGTGTTTTGCAGTGCTGAGCAAAACATCTGAGCCACAGTCTGGTACAGGAACCTGTACTGCTCCTGGTGGGGGATAGAGGGGTCACCATAAAGGGAGAATAAGAGAAGGGATGTGTCCTTTCAAAGAGGAAAACCCAAGGCTCACACCTCTGTCTGCACAGCCGCAGGCCGCTGCCTGCGCATCTCAAGGACCACATCAAAGAGGCTGAAGTTGGGTGGGATCATCTGGGGCAGAGAGACGTAGCACGTAAGTAGGGCCTCATGGGCATGAGACCACACTTTTGGCCACAGTGCACACACATACACTTTCTTCATACCTGGGTCAGGAGCAACTGCCTCACATAATCCACAGTGCACAGGACACCTGTCCGCCCACAACCAGCGCTGACGAGTGAGATTCAGAGCAAGCTTGGTCAGTGCTGCCCACAACCACTTTCACATAGGGCATTTGGGACTGGGGTGAGAGCTCTAATGGGGAATCCCCTACAACACCTTTTGATTCCTAGAATCCCTGGACTTTAAAAGGAAAAACTTAATAATTGCTCACATTTATCAGGCATCCACAGTGCTCACTCCCCAGAAGGCAGTCTATACCAATACATGCTGACCGTGTGAGCAAGTGTGATCTCAGGTTTCTCAGAATAGACACTCAGACTGTAGGACTGGCTCTAAGCCCTGCACTGCCTTTCTTACTCCACATCCCCTCCATCTTGCCAGACCCCCATAAAGCCCATTTCCTAAACCTGCAGTGGACACAGAGGGGGCTGGGGCGAGAGCCCTGGAGGCGATGGGCTTCCTCCACCATGGCAAGCAAATGGTCAGGACTGCTGGGGACCCCTCTGTCTGGCCAGGACATATACTGCAGCTGGTACACAGAACGGGATTCCTGAAACACAGGAGAAGAGGGGTAAAGGACAAAAGAAAAGCACTGTTGAGTACCTACTACATGTTAGGCCCAGTTCTGAACATCCTCCATTTTAATCCAACAGATGATAACTGAGAAGATGGGTACTTTGTTAAAGCCCATCTTAACAGACAAGAAAACAGAGGTAACAGCTCTCTTCATGTGGGAGCCTTCTCCTCTTTCAGTACCTTCTGAAAGGTGACATGGAGGGTCCTGAGAATTATGTCTGCATTCATCCATGTCTCTCTTGTCTAAGGACGTGGGAAGGGGAAGAATGAACATTACAGGCATCATGAGACAAATTTACAACAAAACATTTCTGATTAAAAATCAAATACAACATTTTAAAAAATTCATTTAGCTCAAACATTCCCCATGGCTTTTGGGAAGAAAACATTTGACAGGAGGGAGGAAGAGGAACAAGGTCATTTACAGTGAAAAAGATTTACTTTGTTCTAAAAAGTTTCATTGTGTTAAGTAACAACTGCACATAAGACTTGAGGTGAAAGGTTTTCTTGAGTCTTCTGAATTGGTGAGGGAGATAGTGACTAAGCATCTAACCAGGCATGTTTATATTACAGAGATAACCTACCTCTCACCATAGCTAAAATAAAAAGCAATGCATATACTAAGTTCTGACTATTTGCATACTAATACAGTGTTCCCTGTAGTGTGAGGGACTGTGGGAAAGCTGTTCATCTTTCAGTCCCAGCCCAAAATCTTTCCACTCTGAGTGTCTCTCATGAAACCTCCCACATCCAAGACTCCATAAAACACTGTTCCCACCTCCGCCCCAGCTCACCAGAGTGATGTAGAAAAGCCCAATCTGTAGTGGTTCCTGTTCTTGGGCCCAGTAACGCTCACACTTTTTCTGCAAAAGGCAAGGGAGAAAGGACGGAGAGTGGAAAGGGGCAGTCTTCTTCAGAGTTCCAGCTCAGTACAAGCAACCCCCCCACCGGACAGCCCAGGCAGCATTACTGGTAGAAGCACAGGCAGCTACAGCTCTAATGGAGGCCAGCTGGCAGAGCCTCCTCAGACTAATCATTAACAGACTCTAGCTTCTAACTAACCAGGAGGAAGACAATGCAGAATGTCTACTATAAGTAACTAAAAAAATGACAAAATATAGGCATTGCAGGACTGCGACCACTTAACATGGGAATCAAACCCTATGACCACCCCAGCTTACTGCCTAGAGTGCAGTCACCAGGCTGCAGGACACAGAGAGCCAAATGACCCCACTGAGTTGAGGAGCCAGAAATCATGGCTCAGGAAAGTCAAGGCAGCTAGAATTTGAAAGGCAGTCCTGGAAAGAACAGGTATGCAAAGAAAAGCAAAAAACACCAGAAGCCTTCATAGTAGTCCCCTTGGGTATTTAGCGAAAGATAATCCGAGCACATATAACACAAAACCCTGCGAGGTTAGGCAAGAAAAACTTCCCATGAAAGAATAATAACTAGGGACATATAAGATGAACATTTCCCAGAGCTCACAATAGGACCAAAATAATTTACATTGTCCCCAGTTAGAGTAGAGAGACTGACTGATTACAAGGGGCATTCAGTATGGAACCTAAAAGGACCACATACTGGAAGTAGAGCAACATTAGTTCTAGAATAAAGTTTACTTAGACCTGCCCTTTTAAAGCATAAGAACAAACCTTAAAGTGTCTAAACATCCAGTAGTAACTGCTTTCCAGAAAAAGTTCAACACTTTAAAGGAAGACAACAAAATCCAACAGTTGACCCATGTAAAACTACAAATAACAAGCATCCAATAAAAACTAGGCATACAAAGAAGAAAAAATGACCCATAATAAGAAAAATCAGTTAATACAAAAAGACCTAGTAGAGATGACAAGAGAAAGAAAGCCCCTAAAACAGCTTTTATTAATATAAATATACTCAAAGATGAAATATACTCAAAAGATGAATGCAATGAAAAGTGACATACATGAAAGATATAAAAGAGACCCAAATGGGACTCCTAGAAAGAAAAAATAAAATTTATGAAATGAAAATTTCACTGTCTAATGGCAGATTGGACACTCAGCACTGGACATGAAGAGATAATAATACAAACTATCCAAAATGAATGAAAAAAATGACTAGAAAATAAAAGAACAATCAGTTACATTTGGAGGTAGACAAGTGGTCTAATACATATGTACCTGAAGTCCACAAGGAAGGGAGAACAGAAACTATATTTGAAGAAATAGTAGAAAATTTTCAAAATTTAAGGAAACCATGAACACAAAGACAAGGTCAATGAATCCTAGGGAAAATAAACAAAATACTATGGAATTTCTGAAGATATTGGTAAGCTGATCTTAACATTAACATGTTAACATTAAAGAGTATGTCATGGATACCCAAGACTACCCCCTGGTTTGATGATTCACTAAGAGGACTCAGCACAGAGTTGCATTCATGGCTGTGATTTATTACAGTGGAAGGATACAGAATAAAATCAGCAAAGGGAAAAAGTGTATGGGACAAAGTCTATGGGAAACAAGGTGCCAGTTTCCAAGAGTCCCCTCCCCATGGAGTCACTCAGAATGTGCTTAATTCCTCAGCAATGAGTTGTGACAGTATGTGTGAAATGTTCACAGGGAAGGTCATGAGGGACTCAGTGTCCCAAGTTTTTTTGTGGGGTACTCTATGCGGTACATAGGCACCCTCTGACTAACATGTACCACAACTTCAGACTCCCAGAGGGAAAACAGGCGTTCACATAAAACACATTGCTTGTATAAAGATTTACGCGTAGTAAGCCACTCTTAGGAGAAATTTAACTTCCAGCCAAAAGCCAACCTTGCAGAAAGCCCTTTATAGCATAAACAGTTATGCCTGCCATGTAAACTTTTCTGCAAAGCAAGTTAACCCAGAATAGCCGAGACAATCTTGAAAAAAGAACAAAATTGGAGGCCTCACACTTCCATGATTTCAAAACCTACTACAAAGCTACAATAAAAAACATGTAGTACTGGCACAAAGATAGATGTATCCCAGAATAAATACTTTTGTTTATCAGCTGATTTTTAAAAAGGATATCAAGAAGATTCAATGAGGAAAGCATAGTCTGTTAAATGGTGCTAAGACAACTAGATATCTACACTCAACATAATTGGACCCCAGCCTAACACGATATACAAGTATTAACTCAAAATGAATCGAAGACCTAAACACAGGAGCTAAAACTATATAACAATTAGAAGAAAATATAGGAGTAACTCTTTAGGACCTTTGACTATGCAATGACTTCTTTACATACAACACCAAAAGCAGAAGCAAAACAATAGATAGACTGGAATTCCTCAAAATTAAAAAGTGCTTCAAAGGACACTATCTAGAAAATAAAAAGACAACTCACAGAATGGGAAACATATTTGTAAATCATATGCTGATAAGAGGCTTGCAGCCGGAACTCCCACAACTCAATAAACAGTAACCCAATTAAAAAATAGGCAAAAGATCTGAACAGGTATTTGTCCAGATAAGATAAATAAGCACATGAAAAGATGTTCACATCCTCAGGTAAATGCAAACCAAAACCACAATGAGATACCACTTCCCACCCAAATAAAACAAAAACAGAAAATAAGTGTTTGTGAATGTATGGAGAAAGTGGAACCCATACGCCTTGCTGGCGAGAGTGTAAAGTGGTGCCATCATTGTGGAAAAAATAAACACAGAATTGCCATATGATCCAGTAATTCTACTTCTTATATTTACCCAAAAGAACTGGAAACAAGGATTCAAAGCAGATACTTATACACCAATGCTCACAGCAGCAGCATTCACAATGGCCAAAAGGCAGAAACAACCCAAATGTCCATCAACAGATGAATGGGTAAATAGAATGTGGTATATATGTTAATGGAATATTATTTAGGATTAAAAAGAAACTCTGATCCATGCTACAACATGGATGAAACTTGAAAAAAATCATAATAAGTGAAATAAGCCAGATACATAAGGACCAGTATTCTATGATTCCACTTTGAACAGTCAAATTAATAGAGACAGGAAATAGAATAAAGGCTATCAGGATCTGGGGGAGGTAGAATAGGGAGTAATTGTTACATGGGTTATTCACATTTGGGATGGTGACTACATTTGGGAAATAGATAGTACTGACAAAAATGTGAATGTACTTAATGCCTCTATTGTATACTTGCAATGGTTAAAATGGCAAATATAATATGTATATTTTACCACAATTTTTTAAAAAGACAGTGAAATTCCACTTCATATCAAGTAGGATGGCTATAATAAAAAAATAGACAATAACAAGTGTTGGTGAAGATGTGAAGAAACTGAATGCCTCATACATTGCTGATTGGAATGCTGTTGAAAACAGTTTGGCAGTTCATCAAAATATTAAAAATAGAGTAGCATATGACCCATAGATTCCATTTCTATGAATACACCCAAGAGAATTGAAAATACACTTCTACACAAAAACTTGCACACTAATGTTCATAACAGCATTATTCATAACAGCCAAGAAGTGGAAACAGCCCAAAATCTATAAATTAATGAATAGATCATTAAATGTAGATCCCTTCACTGGATTATTACATAGCAATAAAAAGGAGTGAAGTATTGACACATTTTATAACATTCCTGAACTTTAAAAATATTATGGTAAGGAAAGAAGCCAGTCACAAAACACAACATATCCTGTGATTCCATTTATATGAAAAGTTTTGAGTAGGTAAATCTATAGCAACCAAAAATAGGTAAGAGATTGTCTAGGATGGAGGCTGGTGGGAAAAAGGGAGTCACTGTAATGAATACAGGGTTTTTTTATGGGGTGATAAAAATGTTTCAAAGTTTACTATGGTGATGTTGCATAACTCAGGAATATTCTAAAAACAATTTAACTGCACACTTTAAATCGATGAATTATATCTCAATAAAGCTGTTTTTTAAAAAAGATAATCTACAGCAAAAATAATAGTATACTATGGAGTATATTTTATACTTGGAATTAAATCTATGGCAACAATGGTACAAAGCATGGAAAGGGAAAATTAAAATATGCTACTGTAAAGTTCTCACAATTTATATGACATGGCATATTATTTAAATGAAGACTGTAGCAAATTAAAGATATCCATTGTAAACACAAATGCCACTAATCAGCACATAATACAAAACAGTAAACTAAAGATTAAATGATGACTATGAAATTATCTCACAAATATTCTCCATATGAAAGAAGACAGAAAAGAAGGAACAAAAAACAGAACAAATAGAAAACAAATAGCAAGATGGTAGATTTAGACCCAACTTTATTGATAATTATATTAAAGACCAAATACTCTAATTAAAGGCAGAGATTGTCAGACTGAATAACAAGTAAGTCCTTATAATATGTCTTCTACAAGAAACACAGTTTGAAAATAAAGGTGGGCAACACTTAAAGCTACAAGACACATTTAAGAGAAATTAAAGAAGACACTAAAAAATGGAAACTCATCCCATGCTCTTTGCTAAGAAGAATTAATATTGTCAAAATGGCCATCCTGCCTAAAGCAATCTACAGATTCAATGCAATCCCTATCAAAGTACCAACAGCATTCTTCAACAAACTGGTATAAATAGTTTTAAAATTCATATGCAACTACCAAAGACCCCAAATAGACAAAGCAATCCTAAGAAGGAAGAATAAAGCAGGGGGGATCTCACTTCCCAACTTCAAGCTCTACTACAAAGCCACAGTAATCAAGACAATTTGGTACTGGCACAAGAACAGACCCACAGACCAGTGGAACAGAATAGAGTCCAGATATTAACCTAAACATATATGTATGGTCAATTAATATATGATAAAGGAGCCATGGACATACAATGGGGAAATGACAGCCTCTTCGACAACTGATGTTGGCAAAACTGGACAGCTACATGTAAGAGAATGAAACTGGATCACTGTCTAACCCCATACACAAAAGTAAATTCAAAATGGATCAAAGACCTGAATGTAAGTCAGGAACCATAAAACTCTTAGAAAAAAACATAGGCAAAAATCTCTTGGACATAAACATGAGCAACTTCTTCATGAACGTATCTCCCCAGGCAAGGGAAACAAAAAGAAAAATGAACAAGTGGGACTATATCATGCTGAAAAGCTTCTGTACAGCAAAGGACACCATCAACAGAACAAAAAGGCATCCTACAGTATGGGAGAATATATTAATGACAGATCCAATAAAAGGTTGACATCCAAAATATTTAAAGAGCTCATGCACCTCAACAAACAAAAAGCAAATAATCCAATCAAAAAATGGGCACATCTGAACAGACACTTCTCCAAAGAAGAAATTCAGATGGCCAACAGACACATGAAAAGATGCTCCACATCACTAATCATCAGAGAGATGCATATCAAAACCACAATGATGTATCACCTCACACCAGTTAGAATGGCCACCATCCAAAAGACAACAACAAATGTTGGCAATGTTGTGGAGAAAGCGGAACCCTCCTACGCTGTTGGTGAGAATGTAAATTAGGTCAACCATTGTGGAAAGCAGTATGTGGGTTCCTCAAAATGCCCAAAATAGAAATACCATTTGACCCAGGAATTCCAGTCCTAGGAATTTACCCTAAGAATGCAGGAGCCCAGTTTGAAAAAGACACATGCACCCATATGTTTATCACAGTACTATTTACAATAGCCAAGAAAAGGAAGTAACCTAAGTCCATCAGTAGATGAATGGATAAGAACATGTGGTACATATACACAGTAGAATATTATTCAGCCATAAAAAGAAAAGAAATCTTACCATTTGCAACAACATGGATGTAGCTAGAGGGTATTATGCTCAGTGAAATAAGCCAGGCAGAAAAAGACAAGTATCAAATGATTTCACTCATCTGTGGAGCATAAGGAGAAAGAAAAAAAATGAAGCAACAAAACAGCAGCAGACTCACAGAACCTAAGAATCGACTAACAGTTACCAAAGGGAAAGGGACAGGGGAGGATGGGTGGGAAGGGAGGGATAAGGGGGAAATAAAGGGGTCATTACTAGTAGCAGACACAATGTAGCGGGGGACACGGGAAGGGCTATACAATACAGAGAAGACAAGTAGTGATTCTACAGCATCTTATTATGCTGATGGACAGTGACTGTAATGGGGTATGTGGGGGGGACTTGGTGATGGGGGGAGTCTAGTAAACATACTGTTCTTCATGTAATTGTAGATTAATGATATCAAAGTAAAATAAGATGAATAAAAAATAAAGGTGGACATAGATAAAAAATAAAAGACTGGAATAAGATACTACGCACTCTAAAGTAATTTAAATGGTTAACTATTAATATTAAAGTACACTTCAGAAAAAGGATATTACCAGATATTAAAGGGACATTACATATTGGAAATATCTTGCTTCAACAGGAAGCCATCATCCTAAGTGTATATGCCCTAAATTGTAGATTTAAAATACCTTAAGCAAATACTGACAGAACTAAAAGAAATAGGTAAGTCCAAAATTAGAATTGGAGATTTCAACACTTATCTTTTAACAAATAATAGGGTGAGCAGGCGAAACATACTAAGAAAATAGTAAGATTTGAATAATACTATTGACAAACTTGTCCTAATTGACAGTTATAAAATACCTGGGAGATTTCAACACCCCTCTCTCAGCAACTGATAGAATATTTACAGAAAAGAAATCAGTAAAGAAATGTAAGATAACAGTGAAAATATAAAAGTTATTAAAATGTCTTTCAAAAAAGACCCAATTTGATGTAATTGACATTTATAGAACATTACACTCAACACAAGCATAATACACACTCTTTTGAAGTGTATACAGAATATTTACCAAGATAGACCATATTCATAGCCATAAAAGAAGTTCCAGAATACTTAAAAGAACTGAACTCATATAAAATAGTTTGATCACAATAGAACTAATTAAAAATTAATAACAAGAAGATAAAGGAGAAGTCCCCAAATATCTGGAAACTAAACATAGCCATGGTCAAAAAACCATGGGGTCAAAGAAGAAATCACAAGGGAAATAATAAAACATTTAAAAGTAATTGAAAAAGAAGACAAAAGTTTGTGAGATGTGTAGCAAAAGCAGTGCTTAGAGAAAATGAATAATATTAACTGCCTATAACAAACAACAAATGTTAGCAAGGATGTGGAGAAAGGGGAACTCTCCTACACTGCTGGTGGGAATGTAAATTAATTCAACCATTGTGGAAAGCAGTAAGGAGGTTCCTCAAAAAACTCAAAATAAAAATACCATTTGACCCAGGAATTCCACTCCTAGGAATTTACCCTAAGAATGCAGGATTCCAGTCTCAAAAAGACATATGCAACCCTATGTTTATCACAGCACTATTTACAATAGCCAAGAAATGGAAGTAACCTAAGTGTCCATCAGTGGATGAATGGATAAAGAAGATGTGGTACATATACACAATGGAATATTATTCCACCATTGAAGAAAGCAAATCTTACCATTTGCAACAATATGGATAAAGCTAGAGGGCATTATGCTCAGTGAAATAAGCAAGGCAGAGAAAGACAAGTACCAAATGACTTCACTCATCTGTGGGGTATAACAACAAAGCAAAAACTGAAGGAACAAAACAGCAGCAGACTCACAGAACCCAAGAATGGACTAATAGTTACCAAAAGAAAAGGGACTGGGGAGGGTTGGTGGGAAGGGAGGGATAAGGGGAATAAGGGGCATTACGATTAGCACACATAACGTAGGGGGGGCACGGGGAAGGCAATATAGCACAGAGATGACAAGTAGTGACTCTATAGCATCTTACTATACTGATGGACAGTGACTGTAATGGGGTATGTGGTGGGGACTTGATAATGGGGGTAATCTAGTAACCACAATGTTGCTAATGTGATTGTACACTAATGATACCAAAAGAAAAAGAAAAAAAATAAGTGCTTATATATATAAAAAAAGAAAAATCTCAAAATCAATGATCTCCATTTAAGAAAGTAGAAAAAGTGCAAGTTAAACCTAAATAACCAGAATGAAGGAAATTATAAAGGTAAAAGAAGAAATTGATGAAACAGAAAATGAAAAAAATGGAGCAAAAGAATAAAACTAAAAGCCGGTTCTTTGAAAAAATAAAATTAATACCCTCTAGCAAAGAAATGGTCTAACTTTTTCTATACAGGGCCAGATAATAAATATTTTACACTTTGGGAGCCATACAATCTAATTTGCAACTACTGAACTCTACCATTGTAACATGAAAGAAAGGTATAGACAATGTGTAAACAAAATAATGTGACTGTATTACAATACATTTTATTTACCAAAACAGGCAGCAGGACAGATTTACTACAACAGCTAAAGTTAGTATAAAAGTCTTTACACTAGCCAGAGTGATATGGTAGAGATAGAAAAAACAACAAAAGGGGCACATCACTACAGATTATACAGACTCCATGATCAACCCAGTCAATCCAGGGCAATACTTACCCCACCACACACCCCTCCCCACGGAGCAGGCCAGGATGCAGAAACCAGTGCCTTCCATGTTGACACATGTATTGAGTAACTAATTTATACTAACAGGCAAAACAAAGATCCCTGCCCTCATGGAACTTTCTTCTAATCAGGGATACTGAGAATAAACAATGTATATAACACATCTGTAGATTGTCTTGCATGTTAGGAAGTGATAGGAATTATGAAAAAAAAAAAAAAACAAAGGAAAGTAGGACCAGGGAAGGAGAGTGGGAGTCCTGGGAGTTTTAAATGGTGTGAAATAATTCCTCTCATGGAGGAAGTAGCATTTGACAAAGACCTGAAGATGGTAATGGAGCAAGCCAAGGGGAAGAATGCCCCAGGCAGAGAAAACAGCCAAGGCACAGGCCCTGAGCTGAAGCTGTCCCCAGCACTTCCAGAACAGGTAGAACAGAGGGATGAAAGGGGAGAAAGGTGGGGCGAGAGCGCAGAGCTGTACCAAGGAGGTCACAGTGTCATAGGGCCTTACCATTTGTATTGTGGAAGGGGGAGGAAAGACTAACAAGAGAGGGGTTGCCAACACCAGAGGGAGGAGCCCCATGAATACAAGGAGAAAGATCAACAAAAAATTAGAGAGTAATAGTGGGCTTTAAACAGAGCTACAGTGGGGTCATTCCAAGAACTGGGCCCTTGAGTCTTGGGATGAGGAAGGACCTGGCAATATTTCCTCTGCCTCCTCCCTGCACAAGGAAGCATTCTAGGGGGCTAAGGACACCTACCCGTCCATTCTCCATCTCTCGACAAGCCATCAGGATCACCTACACAAGAGGGGTAAGGGGAGAGGGAGATGATTTGGGTTAGGGGATGGGGGTAAGTAAGGCCAAGGGAGGACTCCAGATGGTGGCCCCACCTCACCCTCCTCCAGAGCTAACCTTGACCCCAAACTCCCAGACCAGGCGCCAGAAGTCTAGCAAGGTGTGAGGCAGGGGTCCTTGCGTGGCAATGTAGGCCTGGCTTCCATCTGTGCCCTGCAAAGGCTAAGTTCACTACCGAGATCCTGCTGTCACCCTCCACCATGTCCACCCCTTCCCTGACTCCCAGCCTGACCCGGATGAAGTTGCCATTGATGTAGTCGCTGTGGCCCTCCTCATGCAGCAGGGAGAGGATCACTCGTGTCTGATCATCTGCCAGCAGGAAAGGGAGACACATGATTTGGGGGCAACAGCGGTACCAAGGCCCCAACAGCCTCCCAGATGAAAGCCAGCGGGGGCGGCACCCCTGGTCAGGTTCCCATCGAGATGCCCTTGTCAGGGCTTCGGAGGAGCAGCGCTGGGGAGCCCCGGTCTGACTCGGAGGAAGCACACTGGGAGACCAGTCTCGAAGCGCGCAGGGGTCGCTAGGGCCAGGACGGAGCAGGCACGCTCCCGAGGCCTGGACTTACAGGGTAGCACGTCTTTGTAGCGGTTCTTCCTCACGTTCCCTGGCAAACTGCCAGCCTCAGTGGAGCACAAACTGTCAGTCTTCCAGGCGGCTGAGCGGGCCCGGATGTCCTGGCGGTAAGCACGTGAGGGGCAAGGCAAGGAGGAGAGAGGGAGAAGGGACCCGCTCAGAGACCTGGGACACAGAGGCACTTGGGGATGGGAAGTGCGGGCAGGGCAGGTGAGTACAGACTCTCAGATGGCACAGGCCCCAGCCAGTTGTAATGATCCAATAATAAGAGCGACTCAAAGTGCTTTCTCTGTGCCAGGCTCCCTGCTGCAGGCACTGAAGTGGGTACTATTATTGACGTCCTCACCTTGCAGGTGAGAAGCTGAGCCACTACATGTTTGAATGACTTGCCAAAAGTCCAAGCCAGGAAGTGGCACAGTGAGGATTGAACTCAGACCTCTCAGCATTTACCCACTGCACACTCAATCCATGTCACACTGTATCGTAAACAATAATTGTAATGGAACATTATGTACTTAATTAATAAACAATGATATAGGATACATATGACAATATACAGTACGTATGAATTATGTATGATGTTACTATGTAACTAATGTATACTGTTACTTTTATTATTGCTAGATTATCATAGTGAATGTTGTATTACCACCATCATCAGGTATTCATAATCATAATGATAATAAGTAACACCTACCAAGGCACCACTGGGTTTCAGCCACAGATTCTGAGTGCTGCATTTATGCCCATACTATTATTTAAGGCTTCATGGACACTAGAATAATGGGTACCTCTACTGCTGTTTGTACAACACAGAGGAAGAAACGAAAGCTGAGAGAGGCCCGAGTCTCCTGTGAATGTAGGAGGCTGGCCCGGGGGAGCTGCCATTGCTCACCTCCAACCTCCCCATGCAGAGTCCTCAGCACTGCCTCCTACCCCAGACCCGCCCCAGGCCTAGACAAGCATGACATCATGTACCACCTGGGTGTTGTATGTTTACATTCATCATGTACATTTTCATATTGAATAAATTATATATTTTGCATTTATTATACACTGAAAATACAAAGTCTATTTTTATATTTGTGTGAATTATTTAGATTTTATACTTGTTTAACCTGTTACATATTGTATATTAGGAACTGAGTAACTGCTTATTTTATAAATTACAACTTTATATGTATTTGTTTATTGTTTTATGAAGTAACATATTATGTTACTTATTTTCATTTACTATTTTATATTAATAAAATTAATAAATTTGGTTCTATTATGTATTTTCACTGATTTAATGATTATATATTCATTATATAAAGTATCATATACATATATTATCACTTATTTTTGTATATTTATTTATATCACATACATATCTAAACTTGATATACATGTCACCATATATTGTGCTTATATATTTGTAATGTTTTTATATTTGTTACATAAGTTACTACATTTAAAGCATCTCATCATGTGCACTATGCAGCAGTAGTATTCCTTACAATGGCTTTCACTACCCCACTGTAATGTTTAGAATATTTATAACCAGTGAAAAAGGCGCCAACACAGTGAGCGCGTAAGATGTGCTAAACACTTTCTACCCGCAAGAGTTATTCAATCCTCACGCCAGAGTAGTCCCTAGCCGTCCACATTTCCCCCTAGGAAATACAAGGCCAGGGCGGCCGGGAAAGGGCCCCGGGGCCACAGCTCAGGTTAGAGACCTGCGTCCACGCCCTCGCCGCAGCAAGGCCTTTTGGTTCCGCTTTTCCGACTCCTTCCTCCACAGGACCATCCGAGTGGCAGCCAGGCCGCCCGGAGGGCTTGGGCGACGGTGGGACTCCAGGCCTGGCGCGCCCCGCCCACCCCACCCGCCCCACCCAGCGACAGGACCCGTCCGCGCGGTCCGAGGGCCAGAGGGCGTGTGAGCCTCTCCCTCCTCCCCGCCCGGCCCCGCCCACCGCGGACCTCGCCCCTGGGGCCTTGCGGGCAGGAGGGTGAGGCAAAGACAGGAGCAGCTACAGAGAGAGGCGCGGGCGGGAGGGAAGTACGCCTCCCTGCGAGGGAAGAGGTAAAGCGCCGCGGGCGCAGAGGACTGTCCAGGACGGGGAGTCAAGACGGACGCGCAGCCGTCCACACTCGCCCACTCACTCTGAACTCGCTGGCGAGGACCGCCCCCTCCCGGCCGCCCCGAGCCTCCAACTGATGCAGGAAGCTCCGCGCCGCGTCCAGGCTGCGGCTCATGGTGCCCCGGGCAGCGAGGTCCGCTCTGGCCGCTGTGCTCGGCGCTCGCAGATCCAACAGACGGTGAGCAGCCCGAGGCTGCAGGCAGGGACCCCGCCTCCCACTCGCCAGCCAATAGAAGCGAGCAGCGGCCGGCAGGGCGCGCCCCTTCAGCCAACAACGTGCGGAGCCCGCGCAGCCCCTCCCGCAGGCGCCGGTGACCGGGAGGTCGGGGAGCCCGGTCCAGCGCTGCGCTTCCCGTTTCGTGGCTGCCGTGCTTGCCCACTGAGTCCTCACAGCCCGACGGACCCTCCCTCCCGCTCTGACCCGGGTCCGCGTCCTGGGCCAACCTTGCAGGGCCCGCGCTGAGCGAACAGCATCCCGGTTCGGTGTCCCCAGAGCTTGTCTAGGCTCCGCCGCAGTAGCGCGGCAGCTGGGGGTGGGGACGGCCACAGGGATGCAGCTACAGCTCCTGCCTGGGGGACCCCGTCTGGGTCTGAGAGAGGTCGGGGAGTGGCAGCAAGGAAAATGACCCTCCGGACACGCACGCTGTGTGAAAGACCGAATGGAAACATATGCTCTTGTGAATTCACAATTAGTGGGAGTGATGTGGGATTTCACATGTGTGTTTCCTGAGGTTCCCTCTTTTTCTGGTTCGGGCTAGGAGGGGCTGGGGGAGCCAGAGGGTAATTGCAATTTGAGGATCTCAGCCCACAGAATCCTGTCGGGAAACAGAACTGAGGCCCTGGAAGTGGGTTTCAGAGGACGGCGTTCTCAACGCTGCTTTAAAGAGCTTCCCTTTTTTGTCTGTCCCATACCCTTACCTTCAGAAAACGGACAGGAAATCGCCGGCGGACAGCTGCTTCCCCTATTCTCAGGGTCACCAAGGGGAGGCTGGGGACAGTGGAGGGGAGCCTTGGGACCAAGCCAGCACGGGTCTCCTCTCTAGAGTCAGGAAAGTAAATTCCCAGGGTGTCACTGGAGGGGGCGTCTGTGGAGGCTCGATGGAGGTCGTTGAATCAAACGGTGACCAGTGAGGTGTGCTTTGTCACTGAGGGGTCGACATGGCTCAGGGTGCATATTTAATCCATTAGGGTTATCAGAGTGTTTTAATTCAGAGATGTTTTAAGTGTTTATATTTGTTATATGTATCAACGTTGAGGGCTCCTATGCAGAGCCCAATAGTGACTATCAGGAAAATCACTAAGATTTCATGGATGGCTGTTGGAGACTCAGGGAGGTGAGACACAGAAGTATCAGTGACCTTTGGGAAAACGTGGAGGCTCAATGGAGGAGTCGTGGACACTTGGGTCTCCGAACACTCATGAATAATAATGGCAGTCACTCAGGACTAGTGGACACCAGACACATGGGGAAGAGCCACTGTGGGATCATGAAATGTTTTTGTGTACCCTCTTGGTAGTGTTATTGGAGGTCAGTGGTCACTGGAAACTGGTGGTACCTGGGAAGCAGAGGCAACACTGAGGGGTCAGAGGGCCATCAGTACTGGTGACTGAGGGGCAGGGAGGCTGACCTAGCAACTTGGGGTGACTAGCTGAGCATCTTCTGTTCCTCTAGGGACTGGGTCTGTTCATCAAGTAAGGTAGGGGTTAGGGTGGGAATATCTGTGTATATGTGGCTTGGGGGAGGATCTCTCTACCCTTCTATTTTGTTACAGGCTGAAGACTTACTGGCAAAAGGAAAGAATGTCAAACTAAAGGCCTGGGTGGTTAGTTGACTGGATGGGTGGGGTGTCTCTGATTGGGTAACATCTCTTTGCCCAGTTGGGGGGTGGGAAGGCTGGCTGTCCTTGACGGATTCTGCCTTTTCATTGCCTGGGGTTACCTTCCCAATTGGCTGGAGGGTGGGGGTGTTATCTGCCCACAGGTCTTTCTGGATGTGTGGTTGAGTGTCTTTCCTATCTGTCCAAGAATTTGTCTCTTTGGCTATCAATCTTTTTTTAAAATTAGAGTATCACTGATAAACAATCTTATGAAAGTTTCACATGAGCAACATTGTGGTTTCAATATTCACCCATATTATCAAGTTCCCCCCACACCCTATTGCAGTCACTGTTCATCAGTGTAGTAAGATGCTACAGTCATTACTTGTCTTCTCCATGCTATACTACCTTCCCCATGACCTACCTATATTGTGTGCTAATTATAATGCCCCTTAATCCTCTTCTCCCTCCCTCCCCAACTCCTCCCCTTTGGTAACAGCTGTCCCTTCTTGGAGTCTGTGAGTCTTCTGTTTTGTTCCTTCAGGTTTGTTTTGTTGTTGTACTTCACAAATGAGTGAAATCATTTGGTACTTGTCTTTCTCCATCTGGCTTATTTAAATGAGCATAGTACCCTCTAGCTCCATTCCATGCTGTTGCAAATGCTAGGATATTTTAATGGCTGACTAATATTCCATCATGTATATGTACCACATCTTTATCCATTCATCTACTAATGGACACTTGGGTTGCTTTCCTATCTTGGTTACTGTAAATAGTGCTGTGATAAACATAGGGTTCATATGTATTTTTGAATAAGGGATCTTGTTTTCTTCCAGTAAATTCCTAGGAGTGGAGTTCTTGGGTCAAATGTTATTTCTGTTTTTTGTTTTTGAAGAACCTCCATATTGCTTTCCACAATGGTTGAACTAATTTACATTCCCACCAACAATGTTGTAGGGTTCCACTTCCTCCACATCCTCACCAGCATTTGTTTCATGTATTTTGATGTTGGCCATCCTAACTGGTGTGAGGTGATATCTCATTGTGGTTTTAATTTGCTTTTCCCTTATAATTAGCAATGTGCAGCAATTTTCATGTGCCTGTTGGCCATCTGAATTTCTTCTTTGGAGAAGTGTCTGTTCAGATCTCCTACCCATTTTTTAATCAGGTTGTTTTTTGGGTGTTAAAGTATGCGAACTCTTCATATATTTTGGATGCTAACCCCTTATCAGATAAGTCATTTACAAATATATTCTCCCATACTGTAGGATGCCTTTTTGTTCTGCTGATGGTATCTTTGCTGTACAGAAGCTTTTTAGTTTGAAGTAGTGCCATTTGTTCATTTTTGCCTTTGTTTCCCTTGCCCAGGGAGATGTGTTCAGGAAAAAAGTTGCTCATATTTACATTCAAGAGACTTTTCTGCCTGTCAGTTTTGATGGAGTTCGTCTCCTTGGAATTCTGTCCATCTAGAGGCAATCTGTCTAGTCAGGGGCTATGTGTCTGTCTATTTGGGGATCTGTCTATCTGGTTAGGGATCTTTTGGCCGGTGAACAGAAGTGGCTGAGGTTGTGGTCTACCTGTTGTACTTCCAGCAGCACTGAGTGTCCTGTCTTTCTGGCTGCATGTTTATTCCCACTCCATGCCCCACTCTTGCTGTCTAACCTGCCTGCCCTCCTGATACTGATCAACCCTTTCTCTCTTCAAACATTCGCAATTTCCTAGCTTGCCCTCTGCTAAGCTCAGGTTGGGTGTGGGGGATGGGAAGGCCTCCAAGCCACCTCCAGCAGTCCCGCCCCATCCCACCTCTCCCTTCTCCACAGAACTCCAACCTGTGTTCTTGGAGTGGGATTCACTGCTGATGGTGGCCCTCTTGTTCACCCTATTGCTGGCAATCCCATGCAACAGGAGCAGCTGATATTACCCCTGAAGATCCTGAGCACCCCAATGCCACATGCCATATGCCAGTCTGCTAACTGCTTGTCAGCTCTGTGTTCATTGAACTCAAAAGAGCCACATGAACTGGGTGCTGCTGGAGGGTACTCAGGGAAGCTTTCCCAGTGTTGTAGGAACCCAGTCTGTGCTTATGTTGCAAAGGGAAAAATAGTAAGCTTGCAATAGAGAAACCTGGCAGATATCACCTTAACCATGGAAGCTTGTGGGGAGATAATTTGAGACTATTGACAATCCTACTGTACAGTTCCTCTCTAGCTTCCTATTTCTGCTAGGCCAAAAAATGGAAGAATACATTTGAAAAAACTTTCCAAATGCTCCACTCTTTTAAGAACCTGTTGGCCCATCCACAAGTCTGGCATTTGGCAAAAGCAAAAACACCATTCTTTCCAGTTATGGCAGTGATTGGAGTTAACTGCCTTTGGGAGGACATTTTTTAGTTTCCTCTAACTTTTCTCAGGAGTTCTCAGTTGAAGATCCCTCCTGGTCCCTTTCTGGGACTAGGGTCAGAAGCTCAAGGCTGGGGGAACAGTCAAGGAGAAAGCCACCCTACTCTTTCTTGGTCCCACTGTCACCTCTCCCAACCCCAGCTCAAAACTGCCCTCCAGTTCTGCTTCAGGGAGGAAGGGTGAAAGCCTTCTTCCTCATCTTTAAAAAATGACATCCTTAAAATGTTCATACCAATTTTTCCCCAGGCTGGCCTGACATCTTTCAGGGCTATACCTGGGCATCTTCATCACCCAGAGTGGGCTGAGATGCTTGCACATGCCTTTGGATGAAATAAACTCAGCCCTGGTTTCTCTGAGATGACAGCTTGGGTACCTGTGAGCTCCAAGCAAACAAATGCTCCAACAGTGATGCTGGGACTTCTAGTCTGGCTGCTTTGTGTCCTTGGCTGGCAGTTTCTACACCAGATTTTTGCCCAGCCCAAGCACACATCTGTGTGTGACACTATTTGGAAAAGATCAACTGGCCACACTGTTTTTAAGCACAGGCTGGCTGGGGTCTTGAACAGCCCTGTTGTGGGTGCTGAATGCAGAGCCCGTGGCATTAAAACCAAAGGGAAGTATGGATCTGTCTGCACCAGCTTCTGCCACCGAACTACAAAACCAGAGAATTAAGTGCACATCTATGTCTGGGTAAGCACTAACATCTCTGGAATGGTTTCTGTAATGAAACGTAAGGTGAGGGTGCGGGCATCTCATGCTGTGGCTGCTGCTAGGTGATCTGAAGTCTTAGCCAATGCACTGTGGTAGGGGACTAGAAGGAGGAGGGCTGTCAAAACACTGTAACTGGCATATGGCATTGTCAGTTAGAAGGTTCTAGAAATCTTATGAAAAACCATAAGGACTTATTAGAAAATTTAATAAGGTATTAGTTAAAGTATAATACACACATCACACATCTACAAATTACTTTTCTATGTACAATCAA